TATATATATATATATATAATATATATATATAATATAGTATATATATATATATATATATATATATATACATATATATATATATATATATATATATTTATAAATATATACAAATATATATATATAATGTAAAGATGCATAGAAGATGTACATATGTACATATGTACATAGTATATATGTACATATTATGTATATATTATGTTTACATATGTATTTCATGTGTTCATATTTTTTTCTGTTCATATAACTCGGTCTCAATAAATACAACATCACCAGCTCATAGCTTTCTGAAATTTTTGTTCGCATGTATATGGATTTATTGAGCCTAAACTCAGTACGTGTTACGTTGAAAAACGTTTACTTTGAATTAATATACGTTTACGTGCATCGTTTATAACGTTATGGCCCTAGGATTGTCGCCAAAGGTGCATGTTTAAAGCTCTGAGGTTCTGAATGTAGTGTTCAGCTGTGCCTGTTTATCTCCTGTATATTATAGGTCACTTTTTCTGGGATAAATATAGTCCGATCTGTACAGGCATATCATTTTTATTTCTTCTCACAGAGAGAGAGTCGAGACTCCGTATTTGTGTATATAGCGTAACGTTTTGAGCTCTAGTATAGGGTCATGCACTTTTTCAAAATCTTCTGACCGAATACGTAAGCATTTAACATTTAACGTTTAACTTTTAAATTATACCCTTTTTGAAAAAAAATGATGAGGTAATTTTTGGAGGTTTCTCCAGAAATTATCCTATATACATTTTTAAATACAATAACATCAATAGCACTATCCTGCGTTGTTTATATGTAATAGTTGACTGAACACGGACGTTCCTACCTATAACGCACACACACATGCCGCAGTGAAGGTTAGGAACGAATATACAGAGCTATTCTAGACGACACTATGGGGCGGAAAAATATTAAGTCAAATGTTGTGAACAACCACGGCACAGACGCCGTCTCGGTGCAGTCCTCATCATCCACACAGTCAAATCAATCAATCCCAAGTGTGATCACGCGCGACAACACGCGAATGGGATCGATATCTTCGATTCAATCTGATAACAGCATGGATTTGCGTAGTATAAAGAGCATGAATGACTCTGCGTTGAGTATACGAGATTTTTATGCTGAAGATGAGAGCACGGTTATGGAGCGTGTGAGTATAGTGCGACAACGTCTGCCAAAGGCATGTACTGAGCTTGCTCAGGAGAGGTACGAAGAGTATGTGCGGTGTGCAAAGAGAAATCGTGTGCGCAAGATGTTTTGGATTGATGGGGGCTATGCTATGATGTATGACGAAGCTCGATTCAATAAGGTGGACAGCATACCGAGTCGGTTCAAGGTATGTATGTTGTATCGAACCGGCGAGAAAGTACATATAAATCGGGTGTCATGTATATATGTTAAAGGTCTATAGAACCACGTTTCTATTGGGGATACATCTCATGCAGTAGCGTGTTGAATCGCAAGCATCATTACATACAAGTGCTATATTCACATTTGCTTGCAGAGAAAAGGCAGCTCGACTCAGCGACCGTCGGCGCAATGTCATCGTGCGTAACTTTATTGGACTCTACGTATTCTATAATGATACTACAATCGATGCAACTATACTCTAATCATACGCTCATTTCAGATTGCAATAATCCATACCTCTGCACATCATCCGAGTACATTTACAATCCGTTGCCCTACCTTTACGCTCAAGTAGGGTTACGAGAACCTTTCTCTACGCAAGTCTCTTGATCGTTCGCGGGTCCCTGTCAGATTATTAGTATGTCGGATCCTATTGTTCAGATCCCAAGTATTTTGTGCTACGTAAAGACACGCAA